ATTATGCAATGATGATGCTTCTATCATGGTTGTGTGTTGTTGTTGTTGTTGCTGGTAGTGATGTTGTGGTGATTGGCGAGGATGTTGATAATTGACTGAACAAGTGTTCTTCAAATAGTCGATATCGGCAATGGTTTCAGTGCTAATTATCATTGCATCATCATCAGAATGATCATCATTGTGTAGACGAACAGGATGAAAATTTTCACAATCAGAATGACCATGGCCATGTGAAGGAAACAACAAGAGTGAAGAGGAAGTGATTAGTGGTGGAGAGTTGGATAAGTCACATGCATCACAAACATTTCGATCATAACAATAATCATGTTGATGTTGATGGTGATAAGGAGATGGAGGATGCTGCTGCTTAATCCATGCTTTATTGAATAACACAAAACAATATTTTCAATGCAAGCAAATGTAGGCATGAATAAAGATGAAATGGACAAAACACTACACAAAAGTTAAATATTCATGCATAATGTTAGACCAACACAATTGAAAACTTGTAAGCACTTGTCAACTGTTTCGTACGAGAATGGCAGAAATTCATCAACAGTGCGCATCCACGATATTCACTCACCCAGAGTTGAACACAGGCGATTTTTGTCTCGCACAAAAATGCTCAACTTCCTAATACACCACTGTCTTAGCGTCACTCAACTTCAATCGATTCAGACTTTGCTCCATGTTCGCCTCTGAGATATGTATATACGTGCATAAACCAGAAAACAGAGAATCAGTGCGTAGCTTCTATTGAAAAGCCAAATCCAAAGTATACATACACACAAGAATAACTCAAACTCATTTCGCTCTCCAAAAAACAAATCTAGAGACTGCGCCTGTTTCCCTCGAAACGACAGTCATATTCTGACCTCTAACATGCACACTTGTCAGCGTATTCTACCTCAAACCACAACTTATCATCAGTTTCTTCTATCAATATTGGACAGAACATCCATATTTGCTATAAAATATTTAACATTGTTTAGTTTAACAGTTACTTTTTGATGCATTGGCTAATTGATAAATTCAACAAATCTTAATTCAAATTCGTGTTTCAATCACATGAAAAAAATATTTTAATTTTTTAATTTATTTTCCTTTTCATCAACAATCTCTCATTATTGATATATTTGAAACAGATTGTGGATTTTATAATTTTTACAACGATGATTTGTGTTTTGCATTAGATAATTAAAGGCGGTAAACAAAAATCACACTGAATTGGACATTGAACTTCAATGTGAAGTTCAAGCAAACAAAACAAGACGCCATGTTTATTTCAATTGGAGTGTTTTAGCACTGAAACAATGCTGAAGTTGAAAATGTTTTATCGAATAAACATGATGTTTATTTAGTTTAGTAAACAAACATACAACAATAAATCTCAAAATAAGTTGACTAGATATTTACAAAAGCGCCATACTTAGGTTAATTTAGCTCGGATGATCTCGTTATATTTCTGGATATTTTGAAAGATGAATTGATTCCATATTTAGTGACGTGTATCATGGAGTACTTACTGGGCTAAAACTGTTACATAACAGTTAAGTTAACAAAAACAACACTTTTTACAAAATACTGATAATCACTTTTGTTATTCACAGTGTAGATTGGTGCATAGAGTTGGTTGTACTAAGAATCAGGTCACGGCGTTCGAACTCCATCCCAAATGATCTAGTCAGGGCTTTCACTTGGTATTACTAGCCCAGAGACATGAACGAAAACTTGTATCTGGCAAATATGCTGGATTATTCATTACGCACCGATGATAAACATACATTTTTACATTCTTCAAAGACTTTAAATAAGCCAAACTATTGCAATCATCCACTTATTTCATTTATCAACGAAATTACTTTTTACAATAGCGATGAGCATCCAACCACATTAAAACATTACCAATGAGTTCGTTGAGAGGAAAAATTAATAACGTAAGAAGTGGAAGGATGTGCATATCGTAACACTCACTACTATGAAGATTTAACAGATGAAGTATATTGTATTTGAGCGAAATGAATGAAGTCTGAAAATCAGAATTTACACTCACTGCTCTCTCATGATCAAGGAGAATCGATGCCTAACCGACACAAAGTAACCAGTTGTTATCTGCTTCAATAAGATCTACACATTACAACCGCGTTAGTGTGATGTTTTTACTACAAATGAGCCATTTCCTAGGAGCTGACAATATTACCAATCAAAGAGCTTCTCTGAACATTATCACAAGCACAGAATATAATCGATCTGATCGGAGCACAAACCAAACCTCTAACAATTGGACTACGATCACAATGGTGCTCAACATTGTCCAAACAGACATAAAGCATTCTATACATCTACTACTCAATATGGATTGATATTATTTTCAACATCATTATCAGCACTGAAATATCCTGTAATAATATGGAACTTGAAAGATGCAAGCGCAACAAAAGTTACTCAAACAGAATATCATAAATCTATTTAACTTGACATGATGAAATTCAATGTTATCGATTCATCATTTGAATTAGAAGGAGTACCGATTTCGATCGATCAAACAAACTATTGTATCATTGAACAAACAAACAAACAATTGAGTGAAAGAAGACATTTTTGTGTCGATGACATCATTTACTGTTATTATAACACTTGAATAACAATCACAAACATTGATAGACGATAAATAATGGTAAAAATTGATTTCACTTCGCAAATACCAATAGTCGTATTCAGAAGAAGAACGAAACAAAATCAACAACACACTGGAGAAGGAGATTATCGAACTCAGGGAAGAGTGACAAGTCTGAAAATCATTTAATTTGCATTTATTGCTTTAAAGGACAACTGCTCACGAGCAACGAGTCCAGAATTGATCAGATACTTCTGTATCATACACAAGCTAGCTAGTGATAGCTTTGCATTCCTCTTTAGAAAAGCCACACCGAGTAATGAATGTTCTGACATGTGTTTGAATCATTCGCCTCCTCCTTCGCATTCTTCTAACCCATCGACTGTTTGGCGTAATTTCCTCTTCAGATATTTGAAATCTTGGATCCCTTTGCTGATGCAATCACTTCCATCTTTCTATCGAATTCATATGCAATAATTTTACACTAAGTAACTTTTGCCTTAAATCTGGTCACTGTCTTCTATAGATAATGAAATTGCTGATGAAAATTTTACCGGTTACAACACTCTCCGTTCTTCATATATCTGTGTTCAAATATCATGTAGAATTCAGTAAACATTTCCTACTGTAAATAAACTTACCTAATCCACAAAACTATCCACATTCTTAACAAGTTTGCGCTAAAAATATCGCTGCATATTATGAATTCATTTTATTCAACGTTATTATAATTATTGTTAAGACTGCCGAAGTAACATGAATTAGTTAGTTATGTTCAGTGTGAATGACTTCTACTAAATATCTATGACTTTGTGCATTGTTCGAATAAGAATTTTAGAACAACGTTTTCGGCAGATTATTTAATCTGTCTGCTGACAATCTTCATGTGCAGGATGCACGTATCGCACTATTCTCGGTTTATTGAAAAGAAAGTATTCAACTATGAGGAAGAGTATAACTGGTTGAATAAAGTCGGAAATTGCGAACAACTGCAAAATAACTATGCAGTTTGTCTACTGCGAAGATAAGAGTTTTAGGATGTGCACAACTACAACTCAGTTACATACTAGAAAAAAAAGCTGTTCAATGTTCCTTATTATTTGATCGTGGTCTAATTGAAGTCATTCGGTGAGGTAAAAAACTCCAAGTTAAATCTTTTTCAAAAGCATTTCATACAGATGAGAGAAAGACATTGCAGATTAAAATATACCAGAACAATTTTTTAAGCAAAACAAACATCAATGATGCAAAGCATTTGACAGAGAAATGTCATTTCCAAAACATGCAATGTGTTTGCTACATTATACACAGAAAATAAATAGCAACAAACAAAATTAGCTAAAATATTACCAAAACTAAATCGTTGTGAATAATTTCAATTTCGTGAACATTCACAACTACTACTACTCTATCAGTGGTAAACACCAATAAACCATCAATCGTTTTCAGCAGTCCTCATCGACGATTGCGTTAGCAGCAGTCGAAAACATAAGCTCGCGTCCGTCAGTCGTGTAAGAACTGTTTTCCATCTCCATAAACAATGAATAGTACCAAATAACAATGTAACTTATCTATCATCACGGAGAAGCGCTTGTACTTATATTTCAACCAGAATTTTACATGTCAGTCTAATACTGAAGTATAGTGGTAGAACACGACATTGTCTACTGCGAGCTAACCAGATGGATATCGTAGTATTTGGCCGAAATTCTACTACTGCACATGCACACAACAATTTTATGATTCATTATAGCAGTAAACATCTTATTAAATCTTATAAGCAAGTTACGAGTAAGTGTAACAGATTCAAAATTTACTGAATGAATACTAAGTAGACCCTAAGGATGGAATATTTTGATATGCTGGAGAAAACGTGAAGCTGAAGTAGATGATTATGATTGAGTCTCGTTCTCGTAACTGAATGGTTTCGATCGTGAAGCTTTCATTCTTCTCCTGAATAACATCATCAGCACGAGCTTCTAGCAGAACTTGGAGACCATTGAATTCGCCTTTAAATTTCAAAAGTTATCATTCAAAATCACTTGATAGAAAGACGTTTATGAATTCTTCAAGCTCGGTGAAATGGATTCCACTATCACTACGTTAGTCAGCAGTAAGCTTTGTTTTACCAAACTTACCCGTTATCTGACACCCGCCAGCAATATATGCCAGAGTGCACAGATAAAATTCAACAGTTCCCATTGTCATAACTAATTATTAATAATCTATCCTTTTTAAAAAATAAACCATTGGTGAGTCTCATAGTCACTTTTTCTCCATCTTACATTTATTCACTGATGATGTAACATGCATTCAACTATCAAACGAAAACAATTCACATCCCAATTAAACACTATGCAGCAAAAAATATCATGCAACTTACCATAACCACCAGACAAATAATCTTTCATACAATTCAAATTAGCATGATCATTGAAACAATTCAGTAGTTGAAAATCTCCCGATATTGATGATGAATTTAATTCAATACGAATGGTTGAAACTTGTGGATCCACAATAGTTTTCGAAATCATTCCATTCATTTTCGGTATGATATCAATAGTATATTTTGATATTTTATTCATTGATTGTTCCTCTGCATCAATTCTGTTCATTACAGTTTGAGCATTTGGGCTATTTTCATTTGACTGCTGCTGGTGGTTGTGATGATGATCGATTTTGTTAGGGGAGAATTCATGGTTTGTAACAACACTGCTCTTCTTCTTCTTACTGCTACTGCTACCACTACTACCAAACTTGTTAGTAGTATGATCATGATCAAACAATTTGGGAGCACAATTAAGTAATTTACAATAAACTAAATCACAAAACATTAACCAAAATTGATATTTTTGAAAATATTTTGAAAGAATCACATTATTTGAGGCATAATTATCACGTGATTTGTTATTCCGCAAACTTTTATCTTGAACGATGTTAGAATTCCACAAGTTGTCGTTCATTGATAACAGACAATAAATGTTTGGTGATCCGGATGCATCATGATGTCGATCAATGATGGGATGCTGATCGATCAAATGGCTACCTTTATTCATCTCATCATCACGATGACTGTCATTGCCTGGATGCATCAAACAAAAAACTTTAGCGAATTCAGACAGGCATTCGCGTAGATCACATTGTCCAATATTCAATTTCACTGGTCTCTTTCTGATCGATTGTGTAGGTGATGATGACAGATGATGGTTTATTGAAGAGATTGCATTGACAGGAAGAGGCAAGTAATTATCATCTAATCTTAATGAAGGTGATATACTCACACAACAAGTCATCTCACTAACAACATTCACATAAGAAACAACCTGTACAGGTGATTGTGTTGTATGCTGAGATGAACAAATTGGTGATAGGAATTCACCAGCCATTTCAATAATTGGATCGACATACGATAATTCAACAGCATATTTCAATTGATTATTAACATCTTTATTGCCCTGGACAGTTTGTAATGATTGATAATCAACTGGTGATTTCATGATGATTGGTTGATTTGTTGATTGAGTTATCCAAGGATGACTGAGACATTCTTTAGCAGACATACGTTTTCTAGGAAAATAATACAAGCAAACAAAGGAAGAAAGTGATTTGTGTATGGGAAAAGGTAATATAATGATGAATTAGTAAGCGAATAATTTATGATTTGAAAATGGGCGCACCAGCCTTAAGTAGAAGACTTGAATGAAATTGTCAATAAAAATTCCAGGAGTAGTTGTAGTTGTAGTAGTACAATGGAAATACAAATCAGTGAAATGGTTACATGTCACATGAACGTTTTGAAACCCTCATGCAGCAGGTAAAGAAACTCAATACAGAGAATGAAATGTTGTATAGTCATTTCATTATGAATACCAGTAATAAAGACAGACTGTCCAATTTCGTCATATTCATGCGTATTTATCAATGCTACTGTTCATGTTGAGCCAGTTAATTAAATAAGGTGTGCAATTCAAAAGGTTAATCATCGCATGGAGGAGCGATATTCAACTTCGTTAAGTAAACGGATACAGGATATCAAGTTGACTTCAATTAAGCTATTGAAGTGGTTTACCAAATTGCGTCAAATTTATCACATAGTTTACGAGTCCCTCCTTTGTAAATCGTACAAGATTTCATGTTCACAAACGAAAGCTTTTTCATTCAAAAGAACTTTTTTGCAACGACTTTTGCTACTTTGGTTATCGGTTTGGAGTAAGTTTATCTGAATTTCGATGAACCTCATTCTTTTAACAGATATTCACTCAGCTTTCTAACTCTTTTCACTTTTTATTATTTTATAACATTGTCAACATACGTTTGTTGATTCCACACGATTTCAAAACGACTTGAACTGGATTTAATTCTCAATAAAAGGAAGTATTTAGGAAGCTAGGGATAGACATAACACGAAAGTTGCACGATTCCATACTAGTCTAAACAATATCGACGAAAGTATTCTATTCAGTAGCATCCTCAATATAACACTCATAAATTTCAGTTGTATATAATGTACTCAGTCAAACAACTAGGCTACACTTCCATCTTCACGTTTTATCTCCGTTAACTTTTCGTTATTCTTATCTCAGCTGAAATTCTATCGCCTATACATTTTGAACTTCCATGATAATTGAGATAGATGTTACAGTGACTACTTATAAAAAATCATCATTTGAAATTCAATCAAAATTATCCTTGATACAACTGATTGTTTAAAACAAACACAATTTTTCAGTTTAAATAAATACACAGTTGATTGAGTCTCAGATTTTGAATCAATTGCATGATTCGATCTCACACATGAAAGTGGACAACAAGTGCTGCTTATTATTGATTCGAAAGGTCAAAATAAAAGAGGAAACAACAACAGATCGTCATCGGTTGTTCGCTGTTCTCCAACTTACACTAATTCACTCCAGTTCATTATTATAGTTCGCTAGAAAACAATTCAGTTTGACAATAACAGAGGAGAAAAAAATGTAATTGAACTGATGAAAAACAAATGTTTCTCTCTCCCTCACTCTCTCTCTCTGTATGTGTACTTTATTACACGGTGATTACACATGATTTATTGAAGTTTCTTTTTTTTCAACTGAAATAAGGTATTTCTTTTTAAAAAGAATTATTTATTATGATTATTGCCTAGAGTGAATTCTTTTTGAAAATAAAAACTATCTAAAGAATTTGTGTTGTAATTTTGGACAAAAATGCGTAAAACCTCTTACATTTTGGACAAGATGATCATTATCACTATTGGCACATACACACACACACACACGTGAATGTATACAGATAATAAAATTGAATAAAGTGAACAGTCGCGGTTAGTTAGTTTGTTGAGTTGTAGAATAAATACAACGAAGGAGAATAAGATGGTGTTAGTTTTGTTTGTGTTCGCTCTACTCTCACACTCTCTCTCACTCGAATATACTTCCGATTGCCAACTTTAATGCGATTAAAGATACAAACAAATAAGTAAGTCAAAACATTACAGTGGTATTCATTATTATTATTATTATTATTATTATTATTACTATTATTACTATTATTATGTAATATATACACATAGAAGCGAGATGTATGCAGTACTACAGAGGAAGAGAGAGGCAATCAAACATGAAACGCAATAAAGCGGCAAACATTTTCGAGTGAAAATAAGTGAAAAATGTAGAAACAGGGAAGATTAATTCAGTGAAGAGGAGAGTTCCTACTACAGAAAATGTTCAATTTGAAACAATGAGAGTACGCCTGATAAACTTGTCAGAACTAAGTATACACGCATACATGCCTAAATGGCTATTAAAACAAATAAACGCCAATGATCAAATCAGATCACACTGTACACAAATATCTTTTGCTATGAAAAAACTTTTGGTTAGACCGGTTATCATAAACAAGGTTTATAGCAAGTCATCCTTTCTTGTGTTATGTAAACCTCCTTCATCTGTCCAGAAATAGTTTGTTCTTAGTCTTAATTACCTACCCTACCAATACTGATCCGTTAGACAGCATAGTTTATTAGATTGCGAAGTTTGATTGTCGTCAATTAGAATTATTATTATTCTTGTTTGTTCTCACTGTATGATTTGCTTAATTTACCTATTTTTCCTTCAAGTATATTTGTGATCAGATTATTCGAAACGTATTGCGTAACTAGACATCCCATAGTTCGTTTAATAACTTTCATTTTTGCTCACTGCATTATTTAAGTGTAGAATTTCTGAAGTGTGCACAACACATAGGAATGTGATTCAGAAATTTGAAATATCGATATCGTTTTAATAATTCTATCGTTTGTCGATAAATCGATTTTCAGTAAAGAGAAAATAATTAGGAAATCGGTCAAAGTTTACAATGATTATAACATCGAGTGAAGATGATAACTAACGTTATCCGTAAGTAGCATTGTAGTGGATAGGTGGTACTCGCAAATTCGGTTATAAGTAGTAGGCGACAGAGCCTTGCATGGGATTCGTCAGTAGTTGAAGAGACGAGTTTCAGGAGGTCAAGTGTGCAGCGCGTTTCAGCTACTTTGGAAACCAGAATAGGAGCTTGTTTGGATTGTAGAAAACGTAACACACGCAAATGGTTGGTCAGAAACGAAATGTACATATTCCATAAGCAATTTCTTTCCCATTCGGACTTGGCTTCTTATATTTATGGCTGACAAATCAGCCGAATATACACAAAAACCAATAACTTATTACAACATACAAAAATTTATCGTCACAGTGCAGCTGCCTTCATATTTCATAGACTTGAGTAATGAAGAGATTTAACTAATGTTTTTTAACAAAAGATGAATAAAACTGAGTGATGTCATTGCTTCCAATCGATTGACTTTAACGTGAATCAAACTACCAAGAAGTAAGAAAAAAGATATTACTACAATGGAGAAAACAGTGGATATACTGGCGTGAGCGAATTCTATATGGGTGTTTCATAGACACTTCAATAGAGTACATTCGGAGACCAATGTCAAGAATCTGTGATAGGAATGCAGGTGAATCTGGTTATGCTCGTCTATAGGTATGCTTAAAACCATTACGGGTTCACCTTAGTTGAATAACGAGAACAAAACAATGAACTAGATTCCAGGTAGGCAACTGTGATCCGATTGTCCCAATGGTACCAGAAAGAAGTCTTGATATAGCGTAGAAAGTGTATTCTACGAACACTCAGCCAGCACACAATGAATCCAAACACACAAATCGCGTTTATTTATACTCCATAGAGACGTTCTTGGGAGAGTCACAAAATAGAAGACTTGTGAAGTCACAGCCACGGACTCCCATGGTGTTAAGTGAAAGCCATTGGTTAAACTCCTGCACTTTCCAATGTACGTGAAATTGGTCGGTTGCTAACTGAAGTGAATTCAGTAAGACAAGGGTTCGATCCATTCAATCCATTCAATAAAACTACAGCACCTTTTAGCCAAAATGAAACGATCGTCCTACGTGTACAAACACACACCTACATATATAAGTGCACACAAATTATTTCTTTACAGATTGGTAAAACTTGACTTTTTTACACAATTATTCAATATTGAAATAAATAAATAATTAAACAATTAAAAAACACAACAGGAAAGAGAAAAAATAACAAGAAAGGAAACAAGACGAGAGAGAAAATGCAAAAAATAGAGAAAAAAACAGCAGCCCGTGTGCCAAAAATACATTGAAAAACAACCACAACAACAACAACAATAAATCGATAATCACAATAACAACAAAAAGTAAGTGCAAGTGAAAAGAGGAAAAATCACAGCCCTACAACAACAACTACCAACCATCAGATATCACATATACTATTGGAAATTGAATTGTGTGCAATTGCGATTTCGTTTCACGATTAAATTAAAAGTGGGTGAAAGTGAGAGGAAAATTAAAATGGATTAAGATAAATGATTAACGGAAAGATACAATGGTCTACATGACAGGAATGGAATTTTCAGACTAGTGTTGACAAATGTATGTTGTCTTTTTTCAGAATGTATCTATGTACAGTTAAGTAGATGGGACCGATTAGCAACAAGTACTCATTCACACTATAACTGACTGGCACTAACTAGGTAATACAAAACATAATCTCCCAAGGGTGTTCGTTGAAGAGAAGCAAGAAGTATCAGTCTCTTGGTCCTACTGTAACTACAACTAAACTGACTTTTCATCAAAATACTTCAATAATCCTCTTGTAAACAGTAGTAATTATATGTATGCCCTACTCCCATTTTTGACTAAATATCTGAACTGAACCACTCCTAATACGTCTGTATATATCATCATTCTCTCTGTTCAGCTACACAACGCGTTATTCTTAGCTGAACTGTCTTTCTTTGTTCGTATTGTTATTAGTAGTAAATAGGAATAGTCACCATTAAGTATCGATGGAATCTGTGCTACTAATCCAGACAGAAATCGGGATTAAATAAAGATGAATCACATATGAACTATATGCATCAGTTTGATTTATGCGACAGTTTATTTTATATTAGTAAACGTTTAGCGCACACACACACACACACACAAAGCATCAATAACTTCGCTACACTTAACAATCATATTGATAATCGATCAATAAAGGTTGTTTATCATCAATCAAAAAGGGGTAAAATTCAAAAATTCTTATTCCGATTGTTTACATCTTTTGTCACTCATTCGCTCCTCATGTAATCAGTGGTTTAATTTGGGAATAATCTTAATTTTTGCATAAATAAACAGATATATAAACATTAAGGGTGATGCGTGTCACAGATAGATATCTACTGGGGAGAAAATAGAAGTCAAGTCAGACACAGTTGTTTCATCCTAGTTTATGACTCATAAGCATGGTGCCACCAATGGTGTTTAATATGTTGTCGACTGAGTTGTTTTTAGAGGAATTAACTGAGATTGACAGTCTCAACTACATTGACTTCGCAGAATAGAACGTGACAGTCACTAATTGCAATTAGAAAATAGCTTTTTCACAACTAATATAGGTGAACTTTACCAGTTACATAATATTAAATTTTATCAAACTGTTTACGTCAGTCTTAACGATATTTAATTACTAGTCAACTATATAAACTGAAGTCGGTGTGGAGTGAGGTTCGAACAAGAAACCAGTGGATAGAAGATAGCTTAGTGAATTAACAACAACCAATAAGCCATCGTTCCACTTTATCAGATCAGTTCGAATTCTATACAGATTATTCAGTTAGTTAGTGTTTTAACAACACACAAATTCAACCATTAACATCTATGATGGAAAATAGTGTGGATACCAGATTGAATAGTTTAATTTTATAGAAAATAGTGTCCCAAGGTTAACCCGAAGCACCGCTTGTGTGTGATGGGACGCATCGAGTAGGATTTTCAACTAACATCTTCTAGGTCGTCGCATTACCTATATATATCTATTTACCCGCCATGTGATTCTCGCTAACATGGCAGTATTTCGAAGTTGGAAAACAGTCACGAATTGTCAAATCTTCGAATAGGATGAACTAAAAGGTCATAATCTTATTACTAGCAGTATGAAAAGGCTATCTCTGCTATTGTTTAACGTCTCTAATGAATGGAATTCAATCGAAAACACTGAGACAAATAAAACATAGATTCCTTTCACGAAAACAAACAGATAGAATGTGGGCTGGCTGTAGAATACAGGACGGGGCTTTCTAAAAAAACCCACCTACATGTTACTAACCAAGACTGGTCAAATCCCGACCAAAATATCGACCACGAGAGTAGTCAAATCATTTCAACTTGAATTCAATGGCATGTTATTCTATGTCAAACTTTTTAACTACCATATACAACAATGTGTATATGACACATCGTGTATGTATGATGAATTAATTTTCAATAAACACAATGTTCCATGAAATGGAAAGTAAGAAAAACAAGAAGCCGATATCAATAATTCCGATAACTGTTCTTGCATATGAGAATTGTTATCATGCATAATTTGTATTTTTTTTCAAAAACAAAATTAATATGTAACTTGCTCATATATGTATATATCATATATACATTCATAAACAAATAAGTTTGATCGTTTGATCTACCACTCTCTCACCTACCTACCTATCTACCTACGCACCATCTACATGGTAGATAAGTTAAAAAGTCCAATTCATTTCAATTAATGTCGGAGTTATGTGAATAATACACCTTACAGCTCAGGACAGTATAAGAATACAATGATACCAACATATCAATAAGAGAAATAAATAACTATTGTCATTGTAGAATTATTCCGCCTGGAGGCCTTCTGGGGTTACTGCTGCTCCTAAGCACGCTAAAAGTATGCTAACCGGAAAACATATTTCAAACAATTTTAACTCTTCCCTGAGAGTTAGTTAGGTTTTCATGTAAAAGAGTTGTGGCGTCTCATGTTAAAAGTCACAAGGCCGATGCCCCTTCTCACAATCATAGTAAAAATTAAAATAGGTACATGGAATGTTCGTATATTGCGGGAGACTGGTAGAATATGCATAAGAGAATAATTAAATCTTGTCGTTGGTGTAGAAAAAGTCAACTGGTATTTGATTAAGGTTATTAGATAATCATGATAAATGTCACTTTAACCACTGCAAAGTTATATAATCCACAAAATACGTTATTAATACTGTTCAAGATAATGAGAATAGAATCAATTCAAGGTCATTCACACCATGAACAGACCAAGAAACGAGATTAATTTATAAGTGACTACAGGAAGTGTGACCCAAGAGTTCAAAGAACAACTGCTTATGTTCGATCACACATAAACTTTCTATGTTAGTTTCATACCGCAAAAAGACTAACCAATGAAGAAGGAAATCCATGAGGTAACCTGAAATATGATATTTTTAGGGTTGTGAGATACTGGTTACCTGAGAGAAACATCTTGCTGATATAATAACCTCAACACAGTCAACAGTATCACTTTGTCCTCAGATCATGCATGTATGAGTTTATTCCCGATAGTATTACTGTTACTTGATTGACTTGGTTGGAATAACAAAATCTAAAGACACAATTGATCAATTGAATTCTATAAGTAAGATCAACTATCATGTCAACGTAGCAATTATGGTGGAGGAAATAATACACAATAAACCTGCTAATGTTTCAATCAAGTAAAATCTGCGGTTGGTTTGACACTGTAATTAACTACACTTATCATTAGCTAAGTAACATTCTTAAAATGTACAATATACACTACTCAAATCCTCAAATTAAATCAAATTTTTATATGATTGAAAACAAATAAAACTTGTACATCACCAGATTAAAAACAACAACTTAACTTACGTTGGTGAACGTTGAAGTAGGCGTTGAATAAAGTCAATGGATTCAGATGAACGATTGTTGAAAAGTTCATCAGGATATGTAATCGTTGCATGAGCAACATTTTCCATTGTACCATGTTTAGTTTCAGCAAAAAATGGAGAGATTCCAGTAAGTAGATAATATGTAAGAACTCCAACAGACCTGATCACATAATCAAACAAAAAAAAGTTCATAGAAATATAATGAACATTTCACTTGTTATTTTTAGTTACATTTAGAGGAGAGAGAGAGAGACAGACGGTGAACTAGAATCAATCAGGCAAAACTCTACAGATTGGCATCGAACCTACTTGTACCCAAAAATAATCTGTATGACGCATTACGATTGTGTGTAAATTTTTTCTTCACAAGGACTGTAACATGAGACGTTTGATTTTGCGATAAAGAGACGATATCACTACAGCAAACATGGTTGAACAATACATGATATCCTATCAAGTATTGAGGTTTGTTTGATAAAGGCTCAGTCTGATTGTCATTTACAGAACAACTGGGTTTATGCTAATACAGATGTGTTCTATGATGAACTTGATCAAATGGTAACGAACACACATCTTACAATAATCTTCAATTGTGAAAAGACACAAAAGAAAAGGTGAAAGTGAGAGAAAACGAATCAGTCAAGCAGATAAACTGAAATGATTCAATTATGTGCATAGATATGTGATAACAAAAAATTTAACCTTGGAGCATACAAAAAATGAGCAACACAAGCATTGCGCATCCACGAATCACGCAACACGCACGATTCAGACCAAGATCCTTCGATTTAACAAGCAAACGCCCAACATCTTGACCTCTGAGACGCTTTCTAATGGTGTTTATGTCTAGCTTCGACCAATCCGTGGTCTTGTGCTAGACATTAACACTCTTGGATACCGGCTCAGTGATCAAGAGGTTATGCGTTTGCGCACAAGACCGAAGGTCCTGGGTTGCAGTCCTGAGAATGCAGGAGCTGTGGATGCGCAATGCTGATGAGCCGCATAACGGGAAGAAACGGCTGTCCTGTGCTTCCAGCTTTGTAATGGTGATCTATATTTACCAATTCATGATTTCAAGAAAGAAATTAACCATCTCTACAACCCTATCATGCTAAAAGATGGGCAGACTAATAATAGTAGTAACAGACAAAACTAGCAAAATGAAAATTCTAGGAGAAATATGAATTAGAAAAATTCGACCTTGGGATATCGTTACAGAAAAAAACTGTATGTTGATCTCACCCTTAACTGCATAACCTCTAATTGCCTTGGTAAATAGATCAGCGACCAGATAAAATTATACTTACTTGTTTTATGTTGACTTTATTCTATCAAACCAGGCAATTCAATGCTTAAACACTGAACTGTACTCACAAACAAAAGCAATCAGACATTAAAAGATAGTAGGTGTCGTGATTTGAGCTGATCAAATTGGAGTGATCACGTATTTTTTGAAAAATGTAACTCATAAAAATAATCGACTCAACATTGAGACGTAAGTTATTTAATGATATAAAGTTACAGAAATTCCACAGAATAGAATAAGGATTATGATTTATGGCTTTGAGCACCCGACGTCATAGTGAAATTAAAACTCTGAACAGATGTAATTTTCCTCAACTTATATTTGAATAAAATCAACAAGTGAACGTGATCTTATTTCATATGAAATCAACAGAAACCAGAGTGATTCATACACAATTGGGATTCGCAACACAGGGGTCTGATCATGTTATCTCGAATTTCCGATAGTTTGTTTAAGTACTTAAGATGAAGACACTACCAAAATGTTAACCCTTCCGAGCATCTCCGACGACAACACAAGTGTCTAGAACCCATTTTCCTCTATACAAAGTGAAAATATTGTGATAAGACTAGTTTATGTTAATACCTATAATCATACTATATGTGGAGTTCGGTAGTTAAGTGTGTTACGTCACCACTCACCTATTTATAACCTCATAAAGCCTTTAATACAATAATGAACCAGCCAGCTCAGGTTTAAAAAAGTTATCCCGTCAAAACTGCTCATCAACGAATGACAAGCATAACTTCTAAAAAATCAAATGCTGTTGCTCAACAATTCACTCCTTAGTTAAACTTAGATAATTCAAGCCCAAATGACTACAGTTTTAAGGTTGGTAATAAAAGTAATATGTCATCAGTCGATTTGTGTCAAGCTACTTGCCCTAACTAATAGATAAAACAAGCCAACTAGAAAAAATCAAATTCCAAAATTGATTGTAAAGTTGTTGATTTTTTCCTGATAAATGGAAAATATGTGTGTCTAATTAAAACAAATTTATGTGACATGTGAACAGTGAATAAAGAAACAATGAAAAAAATACACACATTTCAGTTTAACAGAATGCTAGAAAGTAATGTGTACAACGATGAACGGTAGCAATACTCTCAATACTACTGCTACTACTACTGATAATAATAATAGTGACAACTATCAACCTATTGAACTGTTGGTGAATCCAATTCATTCTCGTGTTCTTTACAGTTTTGTAAACGGGATACCTTCAGATTCATTACATAGTCATTAAGAGGCACAAGGTTGGTGATGATGATGATGATGACTAGGCGTAATCCCATTCAACAAACACACAAACAAACAGACAGAAGGAAAATGTATGCACGAAGACATTTGTGTACAACCAAAAACTGATTTCACATGAACCCACGCACCCATGCACACAAAGGCAAAGATACTGAGAAACGGTAAAACGAAATTTGACGTTTATGACAGGTAAACAAAATAATGGTTGACCTGGAAAGGAATGTCGATTGAAAATTCTCTAGAGTAAATATATATTGCACTTTCTCAAATAAAGAAACCGTTGATTTCTTTTTAAACAAAAATGAACAAACACAATGTAATTTATGAATATTAGAACTAGAAAGAGGAATATTGAAATTCGATCAATAAGTCATTGTTCTAATTTGTGTATTTTATCCTACAACTTTTCGTTCCTGCATTGCAAGATCATTATGTGTCCATGTTAGTCATCGATTGTTTGAACAATAAATAAGCAAGTGTAGTACGTGTGTGTACACGTTGAATCTGTCTGACATGGTGTGAATGTATCCAGTGTAAGTTTGTACATTTCAATAAATATCAGAGCAACAAGGCAAAGTAAAAAGAAGAAAGCGTGAAGGAGCCAGGAGAAAAAGAACAGCGAAAGGAAGAAAGAGCAAATAAACGACACTGCTAGTAATGCCAATAGTTTGAAATAATGAAATATTAAAACAGTAGGGAATTTGAGTCCTGCATGTTGACCAAACACTAACTAGGAAGATTAATAGTGGCTTTGATATTATTGATGATTTTAATGGAGATTGGATTGGTTTCACTGACAAAATCACAAACGAAACTGTTGTAGCTAGATCACCATCAGGAACCGGGTAGGATTGGACAAGCGTCTCATCCTGATATGGTGGAACTCCTCAGCAGCCGACCTGGTGGTGGTCTAGAGATGAAGTGTTTGCGTTCGACACAATATATCTACTATACCGTAAGATTTTCATTGTAATGTCTAAATGATGATGAGAAAGCTTAGAGCTACGATTATTGTAACAGTAAACAACAGAGTCAAGTGTTTTTATTTAAGCAATTCTATCGTATCCGATTGTGTTGGATACCACTATCCGATAGGATAATCAAAAATTTCTATTTCTTGGCCAATCATCTCACATGAATTTATTATTTGGCGATTTTTGATTGTGCCCACAACTGTACCAGGGATCAGCTGAAAATAGTGAGACATTCAAACAACCATACAATATATAGTTCTTGGTGTATGCTTCACTTCATGATTATTGTTTAAAGATATAAGAAATGATGTAAAGAAATATTATCTATGGTTTATTGTTCTTTTAAATAAGCTATTTCATTCTGATAACCTTGTATGTGATTTATTATTATTGTCATATGCTTGCATAATTGAGAGCACCACTGTCCATCCCAGAATATATTACACTAACAAACAACTTTTAATTAACCCCTTCATCTCTGAACAATATTAGCTGAGTATACACTTATAACCCTAACTATAAGGGCGTTTCTCAATTGTTCTATATTACTTAGGAATTTCTCAAATATCCATACCCTCCCTGACTATAACATGGTAGTATTTGAAACAAACTTTACTGGATTCGACTACTGAAATGAATATCAACTCGAAGATGCAGACACATCCAGCGGAAGCATCCCAAATAGGATGAAATATGCATCATGGATTACAACACTGCTAGCTATTACCCATCTGTTCTAATCATGTAATAACCAGTTTGTAAAAAACTCTTGGAAAATTAAAACTGAGGTAAATTTTTCATGATCAGTTAATTATCACAAGTAAGTAACGGAATTCACAATTGGATATATAAAATATAAATGTTTTCGTTTTTAGCAAGTAATTAGAATGACCTCAGTAAAAATAAGATAATAATACTATGATTTTCAGGTCATGTAAGGTTTGAATGAGATAGTTAAATGTTAAAAAAAAAATTGAAATTTCTAAAATTTTTAAAAGTTCAGAAAAGAGAAGACCAAATTAAATTCAAAGGTTATATAAAAACTTTTTCGGTATACAGAAGACTGGGGTTTTTTATTCTTATGGCTTCTGTTGCATGTAAAAGTAATGTATTTGAATAAGATAGATCTGATAAACATTGGTAATATTAGATCGTATTATTAATAAGAAGATTGTTGACTTATTAACCAAGGTAAAATAACGGATTGAGCATATATTCTGTGTTTACATTGCTCTGCTTTTTTTAATCAGAATACACATTGAAATCTTGAATCAATCATTGTTAGACCACCATTAGGTTGCAAATTAAATGCCCAACCCACCTACACTATCTAGACTTGAGACCGATAGTGAATCTAGATGGGCTTCAAGTGGAGTTAACGACATGCTGTAAGAGAAGAAAATCAGATTATATCTGAGCAAGAAATTAGAAACCGCTGGAGGTGGATATGCCACATATTGCGGAGATCACCTAACTTCATCACAAGGCAAACCCTCATTTATAACCCTCCAGGCCAAAGGAAAGAGGTAAAGCAAAGAAAACAGTATGACGGAAACCGGAAAGGAAAATGGATAGCGTTTTGCGGAATTGAAAAGGAAGGCCCAAGACAGAGCTGGATAGAGAATGCTGCACGACGGTCTATTCTCCATAAGGGATAAAAGGCATATGTAAGTAAGTAAGTAAGTGCATAAGTAAGTAAGTAAGTAAGTAAGTAAGTAAGTAAGTAAGTAAGTAAGTAAGTAAGTAAGTAAGTAAGTAAGTAAGTAAGTAAGTAAGTAAGTAAGTAAGTAAGTAAGTAAGTAAGTAAGTAAGTAAGTAAGTAAGTAAGTAAGTAAGTAAGTAAGTAAGTAAGTAAGTAAGTAAGTAAGTAAGTAAGTAAGTAAGTAAGTAAGTAAGTAAGTAAGTAAGTAAGTAAGTAAGTAAGTAAGTAAGTAAGTAAGTAAGTAAGTAAGTAAGTAAGTAATTTAGTTAGTTAGTTAGTAAGTAAGTGAGTAAGTAAGCGTAAGATAAATTGTTCATTTATATTCTTTATATGCTGACTGTATGTAAAGTGACCTTAATTTTTCAAGATCATTTTTGAGAATCTCTAGAGAAAACATTCACTAAAACAATTTATGATGCCTAAACTTAAATTAACTAGACATTCTTCAGTCTTATTTTCGCCACTTCAACCAACTCCATGCCATCTTTTGAAATCTAACTGATTTACAAATTGGGACTGTATTACTGATGAAATAAAACAATAGAAAAATATTATGCATCATTTTTTTAGCCAAAAAAAATTATTGTGACAAAGTTTAAAAATGTTTACCATGATTGATAACGTCACTGATCTATAAAAAATTAGCAGACATAATAAATCAGTAATGATATTGAATCATGAACACTACTACTATTGATTTTATATAAAATAAATCAATGAACTGAATCGATTGTGAATTCCATTACATTTTACTTGATGTTGAAAATTTAACGATTGCTCAATATCGAATCAACATTAATCGATGGTACGTTTTTGAGTTAAGTGGACTTTTTAGTGAAATTACTTTGAGCGTTGTCGAAAATCAAGGAGCACTGGACAAGTGTGAGAAATGATGGTAAACTATGTGTAGTAAATGGTCGATTTTAATCAGCTAGCAGTGTCAGTAAAATTGGAAAACCATATCGTAAATTATTCATTTGCAAAAGATCAGTTCATCCTATCGAACTGGACTGTTCCTGTTGCCAAACATCAATCCATTATCACTATTCATGCACTTCATACAAATTCCATTGTTTTCTAACTCTTCCTTTCTTGATCTTCCCCCATGCTTCCGGACATTACGTTGACACTCACATCATATACTACTTATAAGTAGCTCACACCACATATATATATATATATATATATATATATATATATCAAAAGTCTTGATGGAAGTTTCTTTATTGATAACTAAACACATTTATTAAAATGTTTTTGACATGAAGGAAATTACCATAACGTCATCTACTGACATGATTTAAAAGCCAACAAAATGAAGATTCAAAATGTAGTAGTTAGTCACTTACAATTGACCGAAATTACACTAAAAAAGATTATGAAGAACGTAGTATTTGAATGATCTACATCTAAGTTTGACTCGATTCCTCAAAGACATGAAACGTAATGAGCGAAATAATTCTTAAAACAAAAATATCGAAATTCATTTTGATGCAATTCATCTATTATCTGTCTTCCAGGTTTTCAATAGTGGTCTAACTAAGATTGGTTTGTGATTTTCATTAGGAAAATTCATAGATTCGTGTATGTCTGTCAGATAACAACTGTCAAAGTCCATACATTTACCTCAGATCAAACAATCACAACTATATAATGAATATCATACAATGTATTCATTTGTGGCTAGATTCGTAAGGAAATTCTGGGAGTTATAGTGAGAAGACGTGTTTGGTAGGGATCTACCTTGTCGAGTGTAATTAGCAACTACTAGAAATAATGGGTGAGGTTGAGCGATACCTTAGATTGATGAAAGTCAGACATTAATGCTATCGAGTGCTGACTGAGTGGTCGATAGGTTAGGCGTTCGCGCACGAGACCGAAGATCCTGGGTTCGGATCTTGCGAGTGGGAGTCAAGGGTGAGTACTGCTGATGAGTCTTGTACTATAACTAAACGGTCGTACAGTGTTCTCCGGTTCTCGATGGTGGTCTAGCAATGACTGGTTCATAATTTCGATGGATTCACAACTTACATACTACAACCAAAAAGCTAACGATAGATGTTAGTATTTCAGGAAGAATGTATTTGATTATTCTTCTTAGTAATTATATCAGCTTTTTAAGACAAATATTTTTCAACTATGGAACTTATTATAAGTATGACTTACCATCTTTTAGATTGTTTTTATCGAATTACTTTTATTAGTAATACAGAAATAGTTCAGTATACTTGCTGTCTTCATTTTGTGCAATAGAACTCATGTCACGTTGAAATTAAAAAAAATGTATTTTAAGTATTCTCACATGTCTAATTTAGCATAAATCTAATATGATAAATAAAAGCAACTTTTGACGTATTAATAATTACTTACTTAATTACTTGCGCCTGTTACCCCCAATGGAGCATAGGCCGCCCACCAGTTTTCTCCAACCAACTCTGTCCTCGGCTTCCCTCTCAAGTTCTGTCCAATTTTTGTTCATTCCTCTCATATCTTTCTCTATTTCTCGGAGTAATGTGTTCCTTGGCCTTCCTCTTTTCCTTTTGCCTTGAGGGTTCCAAGTGAGGGCTTGTCTTGTGACGCAGTTAGGTGCTTTTCGTAGTGTGTGTCCTATCCACTTCCACCGCTTCTTCCTGATTTCCTCTTCCACTGGAATCTGGTTTGTTCTCTCCCACAGTAGATTGTTGCTGATCGTGTCTGGTCAACGAATCCGAAGTAGTTCTATGATATTAACTTAAAAATATTAAAAGATATAGATTAGGTTAAATTGATTTGGAAAAACTTTATTTAATGATAAATAATGACGGTCATTTTAATATCTTAAGTGGTAATGATAAAGTGAGCGAGTTATTTGTCTGTAAACTTGTCAGTTATTAACCATTCTCTGAGCTATGGTGAAGTATGTATTTTTTTGCCTTACTAAAACAGTCATATATTCAACTGAGCTATCAGTCATTACTATCGATAGGTTTTATCTAAAATTAATTGTAATGTTATATTATCAGCTGCTTATGATAATAGCTTCATAGTGTTTGTCTGACTGAATTATCAGCGTCAGTTAATCACTTACTCACTAACTTAAACCTGTTACTCCTAAGAGAGTATACGCGATCGACCAGCCTTCGACAAACTAGGATATCCTGGGCCTAGCTTTCCAATTCTACAAAATCGCTGTTCATTATTTTCATTCCTGTCTCCAATTCTTGGTGCAGCGTGTTCTTCAGTCTATCTCCTTTCCTTTGGCCTTGATGATTCCAAGTAAGGGCTTGCCTTGTGATGCAGTTGACGGATTTCTTCAGTAAGTGCCTTATCTACTAACAACGTTTTTTTCTAATTTTTTGCTCAGCTGGAATTTGGTTTGTTCTCTCCCACAGTGGGCTGTTTTTGATAGTGTTTGGCCAATGGATACGCCCAACCCTCTTCCTTTATGCGGGCTTGGGACTGGCAGTAAACCCGGAAATGCTGCTGGTGGGCTTTTAAACTTTAGGTAGCAGCGCAATGTCACGCTCATATGATTGTGAGTTGGTGCAGAAAACTGTAGCTCAGATGGATGATTGTGATGGTGTTTCGTTCTCTGAGCTGGATGTTTTGGTTGTGGACGCAGCTTGTCCTTTTGACCTTGAACTTGATTGTTTGTTATTGATACATTTTTGACCTTCCGTTAGCGATTTTGAAACTGATTAAGTTCATTAAGTAATCAGAAAAGTC